CTTAGTCAACATTCCCTTAGAGTTTTTGACACTGTGAGGAGATTCCTGCATCGAGTCCTCAACTGAATCAGTTTTATCACAATGGCGGGAATTATAGTCCGGATGAGAACAACTGGCCGGTAAAATATCGGTGCACATGCTTCCATTGGTTTGGACCAGGTAAGCTAGACCGACGCTATATTTGTGACGTTTCGCTATATTGCTTCCGCAACTGGCACTATTTCCAAAGTCATCCTCAATCGCAGTGCAACAGTTACACTGCAGATTTATTTAAACACACAAGCTGACATTATCGACTATATCTCAATTGTTAAGCACAACAAATAGTCTCGATCGATTACGACAATTTGCAATGGCACCATCACAAAGAGCAGCTTCGTATCCGGCGGAAAATCACGAATTGTATCTTTTGAAACGATTTAGCACGGAAATTCCGCATAACCTTGGACCCTGTACGGAAATCTGCTCAAAATGCCATTCTTTTCATTGGTTGCAGGAAAAGCCTACGAATTTGAAGCCGCGTGAAGCAGGATCGTTTACTGAGTGTTGTCGGAAAGGACAAGTGACGCTTCCACAACATTACTTCACTTTCCCAGCTGCGCCTCCTTTCATCGTTGAACTCCTCACTTCCGACAGCAATCGTAAGTAGCGTTAATTCAATATACAAAGTCCTTCACTGATGTATCATTGTTCAGGTGCTCGGAATTTTCGAAGCAACATTCGAAGCTACAACAACGCGCTGAGCTTTACCTCATTAGGTGCCAAAATCAATCGCTCGGTAGATGGTCCCTATGGAGTGCGATGCTTCAAGATATCTGGACAGTTGATTCATAATGCTGGGAGTTTACTTCCACCAGACAATGAGGCGCCAGGCTTCGCCCAGATCTACACAATGGGTGAGGATGTCAGCGACGAAGCCGATCACAGGGTCTTCATGTCACGCGCCGAACTCGAACCATCGATTATAGAACAATTTTTGAAATTCTTTTACAAATTCAATCCCTACGCCATACAGTTCAGAAACGCGTATCATATTTCGCAACAGTACGGTAGTATTTCCTTCAGAATTAAGACAGTTCCACCGCCATCTCAAGGACAACCAGCGCATGACATCAGGACATATGCAAGGCCATCGACGACGGAAGTGGCAATGATCATAGGTGGGGGTGGTGACATTGGAGATGCAAGTCGGGACATAATCTTACATAGTGTTGACGGAGGCTTCAAACGCGTCTCGGAACTCCACACTGGATACCTTCCATTGCGTTATCCGGTATTGTTTCCGTTTGGCCAAGCTGGATACGATCAATACTACAGAGTCCCACATCCACAGAGTATGTTAGTTTCTCTTACTTAGGTTTGAATTCAGCTGATTGACTTGATAATAGATAACGGTAAGAAGGTGTCGTCACTGTCGTGGTTCGCCTACCTGTTGTTCAAGCGGCCAAATGAATTCTCCACCATCTTATCGTCGCACATGTTGCTTCAGGAGCTCTGTACAGATCTATACGCCTGCGTCGAAAATCAACGTATTGATTACTTCAGGTTTCATCAGGACAACATTCGTTCCGACTTATACTCTGGGGCAGTTGAGTCACTTGGCCGGAACGATTTTCGATTTGGACGTCGAGTTATATTGCCGTCTTCGCACATTGGGGGTCCAAGAGCCATGACGCAGCTCTATTATGATGCGATGGCATTGGTAAGGCACTATGGACAACCGAGTTTCTTTATCACGATGACCGCCAACGACAATTGGGAAGAGGTTCAATCATGTCTCGAATACGGCCAGGGTGCAATTAATCGACCAGATATAATTACAAGAGTGTTCAACATGAAGTGGGAGGAAATGATGCACGATGTCAACAAAAAAGGCCGCTTGGGACCAGGTATATCGCACGTTTCTACGATTGAATTCCAGAATCGTGGTAGACCACACGCACACTTTATTCCTATCATGGCCAAAGGCGGTGCGCCTCGGACGCCGGCGGCAATTGACCTCATCGTCCGTGCGGAGCTCCCCGATCCAGCGTCAGAACCTCTTCTCTTCGAATTAGTGACATCATTTATGCTTCATGGTCCATGTAATTCCGACAGCCCATGCTGGAAGAACGACAAGTGCAAGGCGGGGTTTCCGAAAGAATTTGTTGAAAACACTCAAATGACGGACGAGTCCTATCCTGCATATCAACGTCGAGACAATGGAAGAAGCTATGTGAAAGGCGGACACACGTACACGAATCGGGACGTCGTTCCCTATAATCCGTTTTTGTTGATGAAATATAAGTGTCATATAAACGTTGAAGTGGCTGTAAGTATACAAGCGCTGAAATATTTATATAAATATATAACCAAGGGACATGATCGAGCGTCACTGGCGATGTCAGCTGATAACGAGTTGGATATCTATGTTGATGGCCGGAGCTTAACTGGAACTGAAGGTAAGTAATTGGTTTGGTGTCAGTTTATATCTATGATACTGATTCAATGACTACAGCGTGTTGGCGCCTCTTCATGTTTCATATGTCATCACGATTCCCTGCCGTAGAACGACTTCCGCTTCACATGCCTCGGGACAACGTTCTCTATTTCCGCACCATCGAGGGTCTTCAAAATCGACTCGAGTCTGGCAAAGCAGCAAGAACGCCGTTGACTCAATTCTTTGCGTTGTGCGATATCAACTATCATTTAGTGCAGGCAAAGATCAATGTTCGAAGTCTTACATATCCAGAAATGGTCTATTACTTCCGTTGGGACACGGACGTAAACGAATGGTGTGTTAGGACCTATAAATCTAAAACCATACCAAGAGTCTATTTTGCTAGCATCTCGCAGGGTGATCGGTATTTCATGCGCCTTTTACTATTTCATGTCAGAGGT